GGTTTAGGGTTTAGGGTTTGCCGGGGCGAAAGGGGGCTGCGGGGGTTGCGGGAGCCTTGATAATTTGGACCTCTATAGGGTGCTACAAGTGTACTTGGGGGTTCATAAGGGGTTATGGTTTTATAGCAATACTTGTGGCCTTCATGATTAGAATAGGTTTGTTGGGCATATCATTGTACAATTCTAACAAAGAGCCCTGACGAAGGGTCTTACTAAGTATTTAGGCTTCTCTTGTAGTTTTTTCATATTATGGGTTTTTGAGTCTCAGGTCTGGGGTTCCATGAGAAGGCACAAAGATGAGGTCTATGGATACCTACGCATAGGCCCCATAGTAGTTCCTTTTTGGGATTACCTTCTAGGATTCTAACTATGAACCCGAAAAAGGAACTACTATGGGGCCTATGGGTAAGGCCGGGAGACCCTCAAACCTAAAAAGTGACTTCATCCTTACGCCGCCAGCCCTGAAACCTTGAAGCCCCCAAACCTAGAGCTATAGCCCAACAGCTGAAATCGCCCATCATCGATGGCCCAGCCCTCAAACCCAACACCAGGTGTGTTCCTACAGGGCGTCCCAACTTCTGCGCGCACGCTCACAGAGTGCAGTCGGGGTCGTTTTTTGCTTAAAAACTCTGCTTTCGGCGCTCAAAATTTGGCAGCAATGGCATACAAGAAATGGAAAGATTGCCGCTGCTCTCGCAAAGAGCACGCGAAGAAATGATTAAGGCCGATGTCATCAACAACACACCCAACCGCTGCAAACCCTCTCCTCTTAAGCTTCACTGCCCTTCAGTGTTCCGATACTCTTACTCGTTCTTCAACCACCGGGCACAAAAGAGCTCACCCTTTTTAGAATAGACCTCATACATAAGGCCAACAAGTTTAAAGCACGACGTGACTTCTCCCTTTGGCAATCTAAGTTTAGTGAACCATGAACCACGGAGCAAAAATAACAACAGACCCACTACAGGGGCCTTCATAATTCGAATAGGGTTCTGGGGTACATGATACTATAGCTATAATCAGGATCCCCAAGAGAATACTATTGGAAATTATTGAAACGGTTGATGATATAAATCCTGCATTACCCATAATAAGGAAGCTACCATAATTCCCATAGTTTAGGGTCCTTAAGGTAATGCAGGATTTATATCATCAACAGAAGGCCTCTATATTACCTTCCCTAAACCCTAAACCCTAAACCCTAAACCCTAAACCCTAAACCCTCTAAATGCCAGCCCTTACCCTGCCTTCAGGGGGGCCAAGTGCCCCAAATGCAGCCACATGCCATGCCCCGACTCGAAAAAAACACTTAAACCCAAGGAGCATGGATTAGGGTTTGGGGTTTAGGGGTTTAGGGGTTAGGGGTTTAGGGTTTAGGGTTTAGGGTTTAGGGCTTAGGGCATAGAAGTCCAAGACATCTTCGCCCGAAATCCTTCAAACACAAGAACTGGAAGCCCTTTTTTTCGCTCCTACGAGGAGTCGCTCGGGCCGTGCATCCGCACAAAGGAGCTCCACTGAGCGAAGGTCGCAGAAGTCGAGCCTAAGTTGCTTTGGCTTGACAGGGCTTGAGGTTTAGGGTTTAGGGTTTAGGGATTAGGGTTTCGGGTTTCGGGTTTAGGGGTTTGCACTAGAAATTGGTGTTTAAGGCTTGGCGGACGTTTTGGGTTTAGAGGTGTGGGTTAGAACTAGGGTCCAAGTTTTCGTGGGTTTTCGAAACTCAAGCAGCAAAAAAGGGCGATCAGGCTTCAGGTGTTTCTTGGATTTAGGGCTCAGGGGTTTGGGGTTTAGGGTTTAGGGTTTTAGGTGTCAGCAGCAGCTTTCCGGCTTTTTATCGGTTGGTTCAAGGCACTGAGTAAACCTGAACCGTACAGAAGCTACCTTCTGTCGCTACAGCCTCGCCCTGTTTGGGCCCTAGACTCTCCGACGCAGGGAAATGGTGGCTAGAGCTTTGCGCGATGCTGGTGCGATTGCCCATGTCATTCCTCGCACACTGGATTTGGTGTGCCAGCACCAACCTGTTCGAGCATGGCTGTCTCAAGCCACGGAATCCACGGAGCTTGTTCTTCTTCAGACGGCGTTGGCCGACCTTCTCTTGCTTCACCTCCTTACGGGTCACGGGCGCATCTGCTCAGACTGCACTCCCAAGCAGCCAACGACCAACCATAAGGTACAGCTTCTGCCGCACCCAAGCTAAACGAAACTACAGGTGGGGAGTTTAGGGTATATAGGGCTTCTATAAGGCTATAAGATATATAGACCTTCTATAAGGCTCTCTCTTATTACGGTAACTACCAACCTGAAAATGTCCTAGACCAAGGCGCAAGACACCCTCTTGAGACATGTTCTGCATAGAACACCGACGCCTAACTACCCATGTGCCAGGAACAAAGATTCCGCGTCAGGCTTCGAAGTCCTGACATGGACAAAGCGGTACATTGTACCCTCCATATATGAGTCCCGAGTATAACTTTAGTATGTATATAAATATATATATATATATATATATATGTGTCTATATATGTACTTATTTGTACAATGTCTCTCTCGCTATATATACATATGTAAAAAAAATATGTGTGTGTATATATGCTGCATACATACATACATACATACATACATACATACATACATACATACATGCATGCATACACCGACCTATCCTAGTCATCAAGGCCCTTGTGTCAGCGACCCCAACATGCTGAATGCGTGGAGCCCGATGCATTCGGAGCAACGTCGACAGATCCCACAGGCCCCTTACTGCTGGTGTAGGGCTTAGGGTTTAGGGCTTACAGGGTTTTGGGCTTAGGGCTTAAGGTTTACTTAGGGTTTAGTGTTGAGGGTTTGTAGGGTTTGGGGCTCGAGCATGGTCCCACCGAAGGGGCATGTCCTCCATTTCCTCAGCACGATCCATGAATCGCAACTGAGTCCCTAATCCTGAACACTCAACCCGAAATCAAAATCCTATAATCCTCAACCCAACCCTGAACCCCAATCCTATAACCCTGAACCCTTAAACCCCGAACCCCAATCCTGTAATCCTGAACCCTAAACCCTGAACCCCAATCCTATAATCCTCAACCCTAAACCCGAAACCCCAATCCTATAATCCTGAACCCTAAACCCTAAACCCCAATCCTACAATCCTGAAACCGGAAAATCCTGAACCCGTAATCCCGGAACCCCCGAATCAGAAGACTGACACCTGAACCTCCGACATCCTCGAGCCTCCCGAAAGGCTCTTCAGATTAAAGGAAACTAGAGGTGGGGGAGTTTCGGGTTTATAGGGGGTGTAGGGGTTTAGGGTTTAGGGTTTAGGGGGGGTTAGGGTTTAGGGGTTGAGGGTTTAGGGTTTTGGGGGAGCTTAGGGTATATAGAGCTTCTGTAAGTCTTGCATAAGGTATATAGACCTTCTATAAGGCTGCTATAACGGCAGCTACCCACCTGAAAATGCCCTAGAACAGACACCAAAAGCGCTACGAA